AGGTGGTTTATATGATCTGGCCTGTTACTTTTCTTGGATAAAAAGAAGTTTAATCTGTTCTATGTTTTCTGAAGCAAAGTTATCAGAGAGATTATTCTGCAAAGATCTTAAAAAAAATAAAAACAAAAACAGCAGGCAGACCATGCATTTGCTCTGTGGAAACAGGAGGTAATATCCTATGTATACATCAGTGGCTCTATGAGTTGCTATTCTGAAACGTTCTACTCTCTTCAAGTGCTGGCCTCAGATGGCAGCCTGTGTAGGCTGCCAAAATACTAAGTGAGGCATGGGGCACTACACATCAAAGGGGAGAGGTCAGCATGGCAGAATGCCCGAAAAGCACGCTCTACAAAGGATGAACTTCGAAGAGACCGGCTCACATCAAAAGTCACCGCGTGTTTTACATTCCCCAGTGCCCAGGGTCATTTTACCTTCCACTGGCAGCTCTTAGCCAGTCTAGCTCTCATTTCTGGAAGGAAAACTCCCTCCTCTTCTTTCCTCTTCCTGAAGCCCCTCTCCCGTCCCATCCCAGCAAAAAAGAGACACCTCACAACCAAGAAACGACTCTTGGGGTGCACCCAGAGCTGCACACCTCAGGGTGAGGCTTCCTGGGGCAGGAGAAGGTGGCCAGGCCGCTCTGCTTGGGAAAGTGCAGCCTCGCTGCTCCAAGTCAACGCTCCACCCCCTCGGCCTTTCCCAAGGTCTCAGTGAGAAAATTCTTTTTTTTTTTTTTTTTCTTTTTCTTTTTTTTGGTTCTTATCAGTTCAAACAAGAACAATGAATTCCTCAAGCCCACAAGAATGTGACAAGGTGTCAACAAAGCCGACCAGGAAGGTGATGTATGGCCCGTGAGCTGCAGCTCCCATAAATCACATCACAAACCAGAGCTACAATGAGCGAGCCTTGCAAGTGGAGTGCAAAGGGCTAGCTCCCTGCACCCTCCAACAGGCACCCCCACACCCCACCTCTCCCAGAGGCCTCGCTGGAGCACACCTGTCACCCCCACACCAACAAACTGGCCTACTCAAGGGTTAAGTTCTTTTCCTTCTGTGGCCAACACGGCTGGTACATGGGGATCACTGTATAATGTGCTTCAGAGACATCGGTTGATATGGCTTTGTTGAGGGCTGTCTGGAAAGTTCGATGTGAACCTCCAACTTCAAAGGTTTATAAATGACAAAAGTATTTGCTCTTCAGTCGAAATCTGATTTAGAAAGTTTGGGCTTTGGTGGTGAAATGATTTTATGGTTTTCCAAAATCAAATGTCAGGAATGGTTTTGCTTGCTTTGTAAATGATACAAAGAGAAATTGAGAATTACCCAGATAGCATCCTTTTCTGAGTTCCTAGGATGTGGCTTTCTTGAAAGAAAAACTGGATGTATAATTGTATACAGATCAAAATTAGGAGAGGAATGGGACTATTTGGCATTGCCCTCTGCAAAGTAACTTACTGGCAAATTCCATTACTTTAAAAACATATCTGATTTATATTTGACACCATGATTTGGGAATGAGTGTACTAATGGGATTCCTTGGTGGCTCAGACTGTGAAGAATCTGCCTGTAATGCAGTAGGAGACCTGGGTTCAATCCCTGGGTTGGGATGATCCCCTGGAGAAGGGCACGGTGATCCACTCCAGTATTCTTGCCTGGAGACTCCCCATGTACAAAGGAGGCAGGTGGGCTACAGTCCATGGGTCAAAAAGAATTGGACACGGCTGAGCAACTAAGCCCAGCACAGCACATCTGAAAATATTTAAATATAATATTTGATGAATTTTGAAGAAATTACAATTCATTCTATGAAAAACATTATATAGAATGTCTGTTTTATAGGGGAAAAAAAAGTGTTTTAAATATATACTTAATCAACAGACCAGCTCAGCTAAGGTGATTTATTTATAAACACGTATTAGAATAATCTGTAGTTGCTACATTCTTATATAGCAAGTAGTTTAGGGAAAAAAGAAAGAATTTCTAAAGAAACAGGGTTATTGAAAAACATGAAGCAACAATAAAAGAATAAACGGAGGCCAGGAGCAGCCTAGTTGAATCAGAGTTCTATCGCTTCCATCTAACCATTTTTTAAAAATCAAAGCGTTTAAAAATAGCTGGAGTGGTGATGAGCTCTTTCTCTACTGACTAACCTTGCTCATTTCTTAAGACAGTGAAGATAATTCAAACGAAAAGCAAATTTAAAAAAGGAAAGTCACTACCATCACATTGGTAGTTCCACCTCAGAGAGAATGGACTTATGACTGAAATAAGCCTTGGTATTAAAAAAAAAAAAAAAAAAAGTACAGTGATTTAAATAAGGAGTTCTCTGCAAGCCAGTGTGATGGTTGAAATAATAAACTGAGGTTGTTATAAATGACACGGTCTTTGAGATTATGTCAATAGATCAACTTGGAATGATACTATTTACTCATTTAAGAACATACAGCTACTCAATTAAATAAGGTCCATCTGGTATTACTGTCAATAAGACAACCAAAGAAAGCATGGACTGAGCCACTGTCAATGTGTCTCCCAAGATGAGAATGGAGAAGTGAAAATTCAGTTTGGAGCTACTTTGGAATAATTACCTGCTGCATGAACCCTATTAAGATATAAATGTTCCTTTTTATTTTTACACACGTATAGTTTTGAAAAGTGAAACTCACTTTGGCAATAGCATCAAGCTCCATGGTACTTCTACAAGATTATTACTGGGGAAAATCCTCTTTCTGGTTGAATAAAGAGGGAAGAGAAGACAGAAATACATGCAGACCTGTGAGATTCCAATTTGCTTGCACTGGGGAAACTTGCAGAAAGAGCTTCAAAACGTGGCTATTTCCCTACGATGGAGCTCCAAACTGGAAAAGGCGAAGAAGAGGGCCTTGGGGATTACCATTTGAAATCTCTAATATTTAAGCATACTTGTGAAAATATTAGGGGCTTCCCAGATGGTGCTAGTAGTAAAGAACCTGCCTGCCAATGCAGGAGATGTAAGAGACTGGGGTTCAATCCCTGCGTAGGGACGATCCCCTATAGGAGGAAACAGCAATCCACTCCAGTTATTCTTGCCTGGAGAATCCCATGGACAGAGGAGCCTGGTGGACTACAGCCTACAGGGTTGCAAAGAGTTAGAAATGACTGAAGGGACTTAGCATGCATGCACATAAAAATATTAACATTTCTACATAGATGCAGAAAAACAGATGAATTACAACATGATCATCCATTCTTTTTCTCTTTAAAGATACTTTGCTAAGCCATAAGGAGGTTCCATAGGTAAATCTGGGCAGCCTGGTAGGTATCACGAATTGGCAAAGATCGAGTGTACACAGATTACCTGTATTCCACTCCAATGAGGCTGGTGAGGCACCTGGAATCACCCTAAACCTCCTTCTGAAAAAGACTAAAACAACTTCTAGAAGGAGCTACATCTTTAGTTGGTTTCCTTCCTATTGGAAACCTGCACTTTGTTGTCTGAAACAATTTGCTCCCATTGAAAAGACAATGGTTAAAATTGCCTGAATATTTGCCTCATGTCATTAAAGACTTTACACTTTCACCCAATGTGTCTCAGCAAGACTCACAAAGCCTTCCGTGATGCAGCAGACTTTACAGAGCTTTAAATTATATACATTTTAATATATGTGTTACTTCTATGCTTTATATACACACTTACTATTTACATCATATATTTATTAAGTTTGATTTCCAACTTGTAAAATAAAAATAAGCTTTATCTGAGCTCTATGAGAAGTATTAAGGATAAATTCTTACTCTTATGCACAACTAGCTAGTGTCAAAAACAGGCCAAGACCTGACTCCAGGTAAACGCAAAAAATGAAGAAAGGACAATTGAAAAATTATTACAAATTTGCTCTGTCCCATTGTCACTTCATTCACTGAGCAAATACTTATTAAACACCCACTGTGTGCACAGAACTGTAGTAAGGCGTTATTGGTGTTTAGTCACTAAGTCGTGTGTGGCTCTTTCGAGACCCCATAGCCCATCAGGCTCCTCTGTCCATGGAATTTCCCAGGCAGGAATACTGGAGTGGGTTGCCATTTCCTTCTCCAGGATACAAAATGGAATCTCGTTTATTATTTGCTATTTATTGGCTTACTTTAAACTGCCTTATATTATTACTTACCTTTTGATGTCTATGATTTTTGAGCTCTATAAGGCAGGGACCATTTGTTTAACCCCACAGGTTAACCCCATGAAGTCCCTTGTCTTTTTTTTGTTGTTCCCGTTTTTGCTGTCCTGCTCAGCATGTGGGATCTTAGACCCCTGACCAGGGATTGAACCCGTACCCCCTACACTGAGAGCTCAGAATCTTAACCACTGGACCACTAGGGAAGCCCTTAAAGTCCCCTGTGTTTATTATTGGGCTTACAATGATAATTTCCTGAGGATGACTATAATAAAATATAACTCTGTAATGTTATAATGCTGACATTTAAATATATATGTACATATACATATATTTCATATTACACATATACACATACTTTATATGACTAATTAGACACTTTCTACCAAGTTCTCTCTGTATTAGTATGAGAAATTAAACTTTAATGTATGTAACTCACTAATAATTATATTAGAAGTCTCTTCTCTTTCACTCTGGTCTGTTAAAATAAATACCAATCTTCTCACACCTGACTTCTAGAGTGACTATATATAGCCACATACACTCAGCTTAGATTCAACACAAATTAAATATTAAGGGAAGGAAATAAACCTTTTCTGCTGATAACTGGCCTACTTGGTTTTCATAGCACCATTCATTTCTAACATACCTGGTAACATAACAGCATCCAGAGGACATGGTGTAGGTCCAGACATACAGGTTGGACACATTCATTTCTTGGATGCTTTTTAGATGGATTGTGTGCTATGAACTGAAAATACAGTGAGAAAGGAGACAGTCTTCTGTGTGAAAAAGTGTAAAAACAATTACAGTACACTGTGAACTGTGTTCTCCTCAGGGAGTATGCAAACTCCTATGATGGCAAAGAGGAGGGGGTAGTCATTTTGGGAGAGGGAGAACCATATTTGAACTGGGGTTTGGGAGGTGTGTGAGAACCATATTTGAACTGGGGTTTGGGAGGTGTGTGAGAACCATATTTGAACTGGGGTTTGGGAGGTGTGTGAGATTTGTCCAGATGGAGACATAACCAAGAGAGGTTTTAGAAAGACTAGTCTTTCCGTACTAATGGAGCGGAGATTACAACCAGAAGATGATAAGAGGCAAGAGGAGAAACTAAGCCTAATGCCAGAAGCAACATGAGAAACTTCAACTTTTGCCCTCGGGTAAATGGAAGCCACTGGAGGCATCTGGTCTCGGAGACTGCGCTTGCGGGCGTATTGAGGGTGGTTGGAGACAGGACCAGAGTCAGCGGGGGAAACTAGCAGGAGACCAGGGCAAAGAGTTCAAGGGAGGGATGATGGGGGCCTGGACAAAGGCAGCAGCAGTGAGGATGGAGGAAAAGAAAACTCAAAACACATGGCGCAGTAAATAAATGACAGGACTCTGTGAGCGCTGAAAATGCAGAAGGAAGTGAGGTCAGGGTGGTCGGAGAGTGATTGGCCACTCACGATAGCTACGGATACAGCCCTCGAAATGGAGGTAATGACCGAAACACAGACGTCAGGAGTCTACTCAGAGCAGACACGGTAAAGCACCTCGGGTTTCACCTGCCTCCCTGGGGACGGGAGATGCGGGAAGGGCGGGTGGGAAGAGAAGCGCCTAGCAGCTCCGAGGAGATTTTGGAAAAAAAGAGAGCACATGTCAGGACTAGATTTTGTTCTGGGAACCAAGGAGAGAGTGAAACAGGGAGAAGGGTCCAAGTCCAGATCCTTCAAGAGCAGGATAAGGGCGGAAACGCGCCCCTAGGATGTGGCGGCCAGGACGCTCCCGGCGACCGGAAGTGCTCTCCGTGGGATGAAGGGGACGGAAGCCAGGTCACAGTTGCCTCAGGGGTGCATGACAGACCTGGCGAGGTGGGCATATTTTTCCCTTTGGGTCCTGCTGCCTCCTTGCTATTTCAGAATGGCTTCAGCCTTAGGCCCTGGAAGCCCAGAAAGTGATGATGCTGAGAAGTACAAACAAACCGCAAAGCACAGATGGCGTTAACAAGCCAAACAGGAAGGTGAAACATATTGTTCATAATCCAAGGTTATTCCACTAGCCCTGAGCCTTTTTGAGGAAAACTACCCAGCTGAGACCACTGGAATAGGTTTTCAAGAGACCCTAAAAGGGCTTCCCCAGTGGTTCAGGGGTAAAGAATTTGCCTGCCCATGCAGGAGACATGGGTTTGATCCCTGATCTGGGAAGATCCCACACGCTGCGGAGCAACTGCGCCCGTGCGTCGGAACTGTTGAGCCTGCGCTCTAGAGCCCGCAAGCGGCCGCCACTCGGCCCACGAGCTGTAACTGCTGAAGCCCTGCGCCCTCCAGCCTGTGCTCCACAACGGAAGAGGCCACCGCCATGCGAAGCCAGCACCCCGTTACTGGAGGGTAGCCCCCGCCCGCTGCCACTAGAGAAAAGCTCCTGCAGCAACAAAGACCCTGTAGAGCCAAAAAAAATCAAAATTAAAAAGAAAGAGATCCTACGAAGCTCAATTTGACATTGTTCTGTGGAACTGACAGCCTGAGTGTGAACTAAAAATGGGACATGATTAGAAAAGGAATGCAGCTCTCTAACCTAAAGAGAAAACCATACTTTCAGGATCCCCATAGAAAAGGGATTACTAATGGATAAAACATATTCTACCTCATTATTCTTTAGCTTAGGAAATCTAGATATATATAGAACATTCAAGATTCTCAAGAGAAGGAGGGGGAAAAAAATTCTGAAGGCAAAGCTAAAGGTTTCTTGCTTCTAATGAACTTAAACTCATTTTCCATTTGCACAGAAAAGGAAGAAAGCCATATAAATGGATTTAGACAGCCAGAAAGACACAGTCCAGCCAGGGTGAGCAAATTTTTTCGTGAAGGGTCAGAGAATAAATATTTTAGATTCTGCAGGCCAGGTGGTCTCTCCGATAACTGCTGAACTCTGCCACTAGAGTGAGAAAGTGGTCAGAGACAGGACACGGGATGTGAACAAGTAAGAGTAACTGTGTCCCAGTAAAACTTGGTTTCTGTACAATGAAACTTGGTTTCTCTATCTTACTTGGTTTTCACGTTTCAACATATTACTATTATTCCTTTTTGCAATTATTTAAAAATATATAAACCATTCTTTAAAAAACGCAAGTTTGACTGCACCGGGTCTTAGGGCTTCCCAGGTGGCACCTGGGGTATAGAATGTGCCTGTCAGTGCAGAAGACGCAAGAGACATGGGCTCGATCTCTGGGTTGGGAAGCTCCCCTGGAGATGGAAATGACGACCTGCTCCAGTAGCAGTGCCTGGGAAATGCCACAGATAGAAAAGCCTGGTGGGCCACACTCCATGGGGTTGCAAAGAGGCAGACATGACTGAGAGACTGACAAAATGGGTCTTAGTTGCTGTGTGTGGGGTCTGGTTCCTAGACTAGAGATTGAACCTGGGTTCCCTGCACTAGGAGCTTGGAGTCTTAGCAACTGGACCACCAGAAGAGTCCTAAACCAGTCTTAGACTGCAGGTCATGGAAGAACAGGAAATGGGCTGGATTTGGACCGTGATTCACTGTTCACTCCTATGCTAGAAAACCCTCATCCAGGTCAACCTCTTCCATCAGCCTAGATTTAGTGAAGTCAAATTTATGTGTGTGGAACCCACTGATCTGTAGATACCATGGAATTTATCTACTTGACAATTTACAAAAGCCTGGTTTTCAGAAGTCCCAAAGTCTTTCTCACAGTGGCCCTGGGTTAAGCATTCACCTTGATGCTGAGTGCAAATTGCAGTGAAGCTAGGGGCTCTCCATTCAATTCTTCATCCATCCACCAAGTATTCATGAAGTAATAATGGTTTCTGCAGAGCTTGGGAGATATTAAAGAAAGCAAAACCACAGTCCAAATCCTCCAAAGTCTACAGCTACTGGTGACAATAGACTCATGTATCGAAATAGTGATACAATAAATTCTATCAAGTTCACAAGAGGTAAAGGGAGAGACCAGATGGCTAGAAGTGGGTAAATCCTTTCAACTTAGTCAAAGCATGTGATTACCAGCTCCTGGCAACAGAAAATATAAAAATCATCTTACAAAAAGCTGTGTGTGTGCTGAGTCATTCAGTCGTGTCTGACTCTTTGCGACCCCATGGACTGTAGCCTGCCAGGCTCCTCTGTCCATGGGGATTCTCCAGGCAAGAATACTGGAGCGGGTTGCCATGCCCTCCTCCAGGGGATCTTCCCAACTCAGGGATCAAACCCAGGTCTCCCGTATTGCAGGTGGATTCTTTACCGTCTGATCCACCCGGGGAAGCCCTTATAAAATGTTAATTACCTGTATTTTAAATACCTCTTTTTAAAAATTATGTTTTAAAGGAAATTATTGTAGCAAATAATTCTAATGCACTGGTCATGAGACAATCTATGGTTATTGATATAGGCTTCTGACTGACTTTTTTTCTGAATCAAATCAGATGCATCAGTCATTCTCTTATGCCCAAGTCTTTAATAGCTTCTCATTTCCTATGATGCCCGATCTCCGTGGACATGCAGGGCATGGTCTTCATGACCTATATTATCACTTTCTTCCCACACTATGGCCCTAATTTATACTATCCCATACAAACTATCTGTTCTCACTTGAACATGCCCTACACTTCCCTGCACTCATTGATTTGTTTCTTCTTTACACATACCATGGAAGTCTCTCTCCAGGAACTTCATCTTCCAGCCATCCTATTAAAATCCCATATACTCTTTAGGGCTCAGCTTGAAATGCCATTTATCTTCTTGATAAAACTTTCCTTATTTTACCTAGTTGGAATACAGGCCTCATTGATCTTTGTTTATGATTTACATCTTGGCAAAAATATTTATAAAATACCTACTTTATAAGGCTCTTAGAAAGATATAATAGTAAAGCAAGATAATATTTGTAATGTACCTAGCATAGCTCCTGGTTCATAACTGGAGTTCCAAGTAGAAGTTTCAAGTGTATGAATATCTACCCTTAGATTTTAAGTTCTTAACACTAAGAACCATATTTTATGTACTTACAAACCTATTAAGTGCCCAATAAGTGCTTATTAAATCTAATTGGAATATTGAGCACCACATTTTTGCAAAGCATAACCAATACTTTTAATCTGAAAGCCAAGTCCAAGAAAGACTGAAAATTGTAAGACTTTCATGTTTTTTTAATTGGGTTGGCCACACAGTGTTGAAAAATCATGGGTTTGTGAGTATGATAGATCTGGACTCTAGACTTATTTTGTTACTCCCTAGCTTTTGCCAACATCCACTGGATCACAGAAAAAACAAGAGAATTTCAGAAAAATATCTACTTCTGCTTTATTAACCACTCCAGAGCCTTTAACTATGTGGATCACAACAAACTGTGGAAAATTCTTAAAGGAATGGGAATACCAAACCACCTTACCTGCCTCCTGAGAAACCTGTATGCCGGTCAAGGAGCAACACTCAGAACAGGACATGGAACAATGGACTGATTCCAAATCCGGGAAGGAGTACATCGAGGCTGTATATAGTCACCCTGCTTACGTAATCTATATGCAGACTGTAGTGCTAGTCACCCAGTCGTGGCCAACTCTTTGCGACCCCATGGACTGTAGCCCACCAGGCCCCTCTGTCCATGGAATTCTCCAGGCAAGAATACTGGAGTGGGCTGCCATTTCCTTCTGCATTATATGCAGAGTACATCATGCAAAATGTCAGGCTGGATGAAGCACAAGCTGGAATCAAGCAAGATTGCCGGGAGAAATATCAATAACCTCAGATATGCAGATGCCACCACCCTTGTGGCAGAAAGTGAAGAGGAAATAAAGAGACTCTTGATGAACGTGAAAGAGGAGAGTGAAAAAGCTGGCTTAAAAACTCAACATTCAAAAAACGAAGATCATGGCATCCGGTATCATCACTTCATGGCAAACAGATGGGGAAACGATAGAAACAGTGGCAGACTTCATTTTTGTGGGCTCCAAAATCACTGCAGATGGTGACTGCAGACATGAAATT